GAATAAATGACCGTTGAATGCATGCCATAAATGGGACAGTTACAACAGCCCCTCCAGGGCTCAGGGAACATCATGTAAGAAAGGGCCGAAAGAATGTACGAGCCTAAGGAGGGGCAGGGGAAAGGCACGACATGCCTATTGCACTCTTGAACTCCACAGAAGCTGTGATTACCTGCACAAAGTTGGGCCCATCAACACCCTATCATGAAAGGGGAATGTGCTCATGGGGCCCCACCCCACACTGAGAATTTGTATGAAATTAACTAATGGTTGGTGGGGAAGGGAAACACATTTTCTTCAGTGGTATAGCCACTGTTAAGGTACCAAGCTTCTGTAAATAATCTCTCACCCAGGGCCTGTAGATAAGTCTAATGAAACTCATTAGGTCATAAAAACATAAAAACACATTAAAATAGCTCATTGGGAAAATGAAGGCAATTAGAAGAGTAGCAGAGGCTAGAAGAATATAGAGGGGGTGAGTATGATGACGTACAAAATATACCATGTACATTTATGAAATGAACTTCATAATGAAATGTATTATTGTGTATGATTAACATAGGTTAATGAAAACATTTTTAAAAAAGAAACTGCTCCATAATCCAGTCAACAGCCATCTCTGGATATCATTCACACTCTGTGCCCCATCACAGCATTTCCTTAGGAACTAGGAACAAAGTGACCATGATGCCAGGGATGGAGGCTGTGTCAGGATGAGTAATGACCATTCAAGAATGCCCATGTTCTACTCCACAGACACTGAATATGCTTCCTCACACCCAGAAGCAACCTCACTGATGTGATTAAGGATGCTGATATAGATTGCCAGGATTGTCTGGACAGGAACAGTGTTCTCTTTTTTTTAAATATTTTATTTATTATTTTTTATTTTATGTGTATGAGTGTATTGCCTGCATGTATGTGAGTGCACCCGTGTCGTGTGTGCAATGCCACAGAGGTCAGAAGAGGGCTTCAGATTCCCCTGGAACTGGAGTTAAGGATGGTTCGTAGCAGCCATGTGGGTGCTGGGAATCGAACCCAGGTCATCTGCAAGAGCAGTCGGTGCTATTAACCACTGAGCTCTCTCTCCAGCCCCAGGAACAGCGTTCTTATAGAGTTCTTGCAGGTGAGATACAGAAGCAGCACAGGGAAGATGTAACCACAAAGCCTAGGTCAGAGGCGAAAGAAAAATGGAACATTCCTGACTGAAATCAGGGAGGAAGCGGCCCCAGACCAGAGAATGGAGTGCTTTCAACGTTAGAGATTGCAGTCTCCCCTAGAGCCCCTCCAACAGGAATGCAGTCCTACAGACCCGTCCAAGAGCATATATTTGTGTTGCTTTAAGTCACCAAGTTTGTGAAAATGTCTTTTAACAGCCACAGGAAGGGAACAGCGACTAAGTACAGATTCCGCTTCTCTACCAAAGCTGAACTGACTCCCGCCACTACCCTATGATCTAACACCAGCAGAGACCTACATGTAGTCCACAAGATGGCGCCATTCCCCCACAGAACCAGGCCAGTACATGCAGGGCAGGCAGATTATATTGTCACATCTTAGAGAAAGAAAGCAGAGATCACTCCTCAGTGCAAGAGACTCTGTGGGTTTTTTTTTTTTTCAGTGCTTCAATAATTTTGATTCATTTAGGTTTCACCATAACCAATCAGATGAGGCCCAGCTCATGAGGTTCCAAAGAATATGCATTCTACTGGGAACTGGGCAGCTCAAGGCCATTTGTATCACAACCTGGAAAAGAATCTGGCTGTATTCTGTTCTGAGAATTTGAGTGAGGCTAAATTCAAAAGGAAGGGACTAATTTGTGGGGCAGAGAAGTTTCAAGACAGGGGAGTGTTCACGCTATGTCGTGGTTACCTCTCCCTGTTCTTATCCAGACCTACAGTGAAAGAGAGAGAGAGAGACAGAGACAGAGACAGAGACAGAGACAGAGAGTAGCAATTGGGGCAGAAGGATATGGAAAATGTGCATTTGGGTGAGGAAAGGAGCTTAGGAAAGTTTAAAGATGCAAACAAGATGGCCTGTTCTAAAGAGATGGGCATGCATTCTTCTCTATGACAACAGAAACAGATGCCCCGTGGGCAGAACCATACCCAAGGAAGGCTCCAGCTTGCAAAAAAGCAAAGAGTCTGAACTGAGAATACATTATGATTTTCCTGCTGAAAAACAGCTGTCCAGGAAAGTGTTTTCATTGACTCAGTCACCAAGGCATGTAGAGGCTGCTAGAACCATGGTCCAAGGGAGCCAGGTTATGTCTTGAGCTGGAAACAGAGCTTAGCAGTGTCATCTGTGTGGTACCGGTTTTGCAGGCACAAAGATGTAAGAGTAAGTGGGTCATGGAGGCTCGTGCCAAGGTTCCAAAGAGCCACTGAGGTCATGCAATGTATGGTTGGGTAAGAGTCCCTGCAAGAGGCCCTAAGCAAGACGCCATTATGTAAAACTAACTGTGAAGGTGAAGCCTAAGTTGCAGTGGGGACTTCAGGATGTTAGAAATGTCGCAAACACGTCTGCCAAGGAAAGTTGCAGGCATGGACTGAAGTCAGCCCAAGAGAGAGGCTACCCATGTTACAGGCAGCAGAGGTGGAGGATGTCCTAATTGCGTCTCTGATATTGCAATGAAACATCCTGGACAAAAGCAACTTAGAGGATAAGTGGATTTATTTCAGCTTAGAATTCCAGGTTACAATCTGTCATTGTAGGAAGTCAAGGCAGGAAGTTCAGCTAGTCACATCACACCCACAGTAAAGAGCAAAGAGAAGTAAATGTGTATATGCTTGCTTGCTTACTTTCTCGTGCTCACCTCAATTTCAGAACTCAGACCGTGTGGGCATGGTGCTGTCCACAGTGGACTAGGTCGGTGCTGCCACAGTGGACTAGGCTGTCCCACATCAATTGACTTAATTAACATAATCTCCCACATGTGCCCACAGGTCAAGCCAATATAGACAATCTCACACGGAGACTGTCAAGTTGACACTTAAAGTCAACCAGCACTGAGGGATAGGGCGGCACAAGCCCTTGCCAGCCTCAAACGCTGTACAAGAGCTGCGGGATTTGATGTTTGTACCGCTGGGTTTGGGTCTTTCTTTGGTCTGAGCTCTACTTACTATTTCCGATTCTTACGTTTAAAATAGGAATGTTTATTCTATGCCATTGTATATTAGAAGTACAAAGTCACTGCTATTATTGATTTTTTTGAGTTTGGCGTTGCTTTGTTTTGTTTTGCTTTTACTTTACAGGGGTTCACATTTAAAAACTTGTCTTGAGTGTCAAAAGAGACTTTGGACTAAGAGGAACTTTCCCAAAGTTGAAATCAGTGAATTCTGTATTATGAGATGGCCCATCAGCCTACCGGGGTCATGAATGTGAAATGGCTCCCGTAGGCTCATGTGCTTGAACAGTTAGTCCCCAGGTGATGGCGCTGTTTTGGGTGTCTGTGGATCCTTTGGGAGATGGAAGTCTTGCTGAGGAAGTGGGTCACTGGGGTGGGCCCAGTTTCCTTTCTTGTCTGTGCCGCACTTCCTGCCTGCTGATTGACACCAACCCGCTGTTTCTGCCATGCTTCCATAGTGGACTGTTCCCTCACACTGTGAGCAAATAAACCTTTCCTCCCTTAAGTTGTTTCTTGTCAGGCTTTTGGTCACAGCAACAAAAGTGACTAATATATACAGTCACAGGAAGGAGTCAAAGCCAGTTTTAGCCCTTAAAGGGAAGTGACCCACTTCCCCTCATCATGACCATCTCTCTTCTACAATTCCACCATCTCCTAATTCTTTATTCAAGTTTTGTATCTGTCAGTGGAATTCATCATTCATTATGTCAGAGCCCTTGTGTCTAATTGGAAGTAACTAATCTCCAAGGCATTTTCTATCCAATCAAGAAACAAGGTTAACCCCACAAGCAGCAGAGCGTCACCTCTACCATATTATTCCAACACGGTCTAGTCGCAGATTCAGTGACTCCCTCCTCAAAAACTACAGTTCAACAATGGCCTCATCCTGTGGGCCACAACCAGCAGGCAATATAAAGGTTCTCCTCCCTTTCCATCTGAGCAGAAACAGTGGTACTTGCTGAGCAAGGGTAAGGCTCTTTGTACCAGTGGAAACAGTAGATACAGCTCAGCACCTTAGTTAGTCCTTAGAGAATTCACTTTCCACATCCCAGTTGGTCTCAGAAGCTCCTAAAAGAGCCTCGACTTGAGAACCTGCCTCCTGGTAGACAGAGGTCTGCGCTAGGAAATTTAAAGATGGATCTATGCAAATCTCATGCTCATTCCTTCAGTTCCTCCTCTCTTCCTCTTCCCCTGCCTCTCTTTCCTAAAAAAACTCCTCTAAAACTTTCGTGTGGTCCAGCCTAAGGGTAGATGATGAGTCAATGGAGAGTTTCTCTCAGGCCAGAAAGAGAAAATGTGACTTGGGCTGTAACCAGTGACTTTGACCTTATGTAGTAGGAGTCTGGCCCCTGCATTGCTTTGTCATCGTGGATAGAGTCATCAGTGACTGTGTGGCATTTTCGTGCCGTTTATTCTACATAGACCTGGAGGGCAATGCTTCAAGAAAATGTGAAAAGCATTTTCTTCTCCAAAGACAGACAGTCATGCTCTCAATGAGAGCGGTAGACTATTGCTAGATGCAACGCAGGACAGTGTCATCACAAGAAGAAAAGACATGGTGAGAATCCTTGCAGCCAGCAGAGCCTCAGCTCTGTCTCTTTTTTCTCATCTGGGGCACTCAGCAAAGACCTTTGCTGGTAGCAAAGGCCATCCTTTACTTCCCTACCAAAGGCACCACAGTTACCATCGTATTTTTTTCTTTCTTTTCATTTATGGGGTTTGTTTTTATTTTTAAGAGGTGTTGCTTGTTTTTATTTTGCTTGTTTACTTGTTTATTTAAGGTGAGGTTTTTTGTTTTGTTTTATGGTAGTGCTAGGGATTTAACTTTGCATTCTAGGCAATTGTTCAGCTACTGGCCTCCACCCCTAAGATTTCATATGCCCTTTATGTAACTGACTGTAGAATCCATAACCTCACGTGCACAAGGAAAAGAGAAAATCTTATCAAATAAAAGTATGCATCCATGAAAGCCGTCCTCCACATGGTGCCAGGTTACAGGGACTCCCTGGTCTTCCAAGCGCTTCTTGTACAGCAAGACATCATCCCGGAGGACGTCATGCTCACAACTCACCAGGAATGCCTCAGGAAGCTGAGCTATGGTCTTGTCATCTGCTAGGAGAGGTGAAAGTTCTGCATCTAAAACATGCTTGGTTTCCAGGTAGGCGGCCTCATTAAAAGGTGCAGGAAACTGGGGTTGTGACTCTTGGCGCCTGAATCTTTGGGGGATGTTGTCAGAGCTGAGCCACTTCCTGTACTTCTTCCAAGCATCCGGGTGTATACAAGATCCTTTCAACATGGTGTCTTGCCAAGAGAGATCAATGGCCAAGTTCTTACACACCAAGGTCATCAAGAATTTCCGAGACAGGAATGGGACATCTTGATTCTGTCGGTAAGATGGTAACTGGAAATTGATTAACTGAAGGGCTGGATAAATCAGGACCTGAGCCCGGAGCTGGGGAAGATCTTGTCTGCCCAATAAGACCTGAGAGACCATGGCCACAGCCCCAGCTCCAACACTTTCTCCACAGACTACCACCCGGGAGGGGTCCACCCCATAGGTGTTCAGGGTTTTGAGGAAGTGGATGGAAGCACTCAAACAGTCCCGGAAAGCAACGGGGTGATGATGGTCAGGAAGCTTGCGGTACCTAAGAAGGAAAAAGAAAAAAAAATTGTACATTGGCATGCATACCAAAGGTGGTTATTTGAACAGTGTCCTCTATGCCCAGAGGAGAACGAACCTGATTTAATCTTCAGAATGACCCTAACAGTTAAGGATGTTGTCCTGATTGTCTTCAATTGTCATCTTGAAACAGGCTAGCATCATCTGAAAGGAGAGCCTCAACTGAGCAATATCCTAGGTCAGATCAGCCTGTGGGCATGTCTGTAAGGGATTATCTTGATTGTTCATTCAGGTGAGAGAGCCCAGCCCGCTGTGGGTGGTACCATTCCCTGGGTAGGTGGTTCTGGGCTATATGAGGAGGTGAGCTAAACATGTGCCTACCAGTCAGCTAGCAAGAAGCACCTGTCATGGTTCTTGCTGTATTTCTTGGTTGTGAAGTGAATTCCTTGGTTGAAGGTGGAATAACATGTTCCTGCTTGAGTTTCTGCCTTGACTCACCGTAATGATGGATTGAGACCTGGAGTTTGAAGCTGAAATGAGCCTTCCCTCCCCTAAGTTGCTTTTTGCCAGTGTTTTATCACAGCAACAGAGATGAAACTAAACAGATGGTTATTTCTACTATTTCCTATGTGAATTTGAAGAACCAGCCCACAGTCATTCTCACTTAAAGCCACTTAGATGAAAAATAAAAAGTCTCACACAGGATTATGCAAGTTGGTCAGAAGTAGGAAAACAAGAGGAAAAGCAGTGGCTTGTCATATTGCCTGTATGGAAAGATGGAGAGGCTGAGGTTAAAGTCAAGATAAAGACGTTTCAGTTAGACAGAACAGAGGAGAGGAGAGGGGAGAAGAGGGCAGAGGAGGAAAGGGAAAGGGGAGGTAGAGGCAGGGTAGGGAGGGGTAGAGGTGGGGAGGAGAGGAATGGAGGAGAAAGTCTCCTTGTATTTCAGCACCTCTCAGGCCTCTCCTCCCAGGAACTACCCATTGCAGCCCTCCCACAGTCCAAAGCCCCTTCTTTGACTGAATAAAACCACCAGCCACTGTCTCACAACTGCTGCATCCCACAGGCCCGATATTTGGAATTCCCCACAAAATATCATCACTACAAGTGGTGCCTAAGGAACAAAGAGGAAACGGCAGGCTGACGTGCACGTCAATGCGGATCTTTCTGTGCTCTTCATGCAGGGGATCTTCGATGTCCCCAAGGCCTTCTGGGATTTGGGTTCCAACAATGCAAGTTCAGATACTCTAGAAGCCAAGTGGAGGGAGGTTTCTGAGGCTAGAAAGATGCTGCTACCCACATACACCCAACCTGGAAGATGCCAAGGTGTGAGGGGCTATTGTAGAGGCAGAATCTAACAGGGAAGCTTTAATTTCTCTCACGGCCTTCTATAAATTGTGTCCCACTTACTAGTGTTCTCTGGGAACAAGAAACAGAATTTTAGTGAGTAGCCCCTTCTGCCCTCCATCTACTCAAAGACCCCCTTTTTCCCCCCCAAAAAACTAGTTGAGTCTTAAGTCACTCTCCACACTGGTCCAGGAGTGGCTGGTAGTGGATAGGTAAGTTTTTAACAGTACACTGAGCACTTTCAGAATTATCACCCAAACAGTAACTTTGATCTCGACTTCAGCCATCATCCTACATCCTCCCCAGGCCAATGCCAGCCTGCTGAGAGGAAGGCTACCATGATTCCTGAACCCATTTTTATTTTAACAGCACTGTGTTGCATGTCTATAGGTATTCATAGAAAGTGTTTGACTGATTGTTAATTGTTTTTAACTTTATAAAGAAGGTATTGGGCTTCATGTAAGCTGTTGAAAAGTTTCATTTAATTTTACACTACCTAGATTCTTTCACATCTCAATGTGCCCTCCTGTTTCATCTACTGAGTGGCCATGGGGTGCTCCATGCGGAGCAGTACTGTGTAATCTCATATTCACTTTAGCACGGCTCTTCCACACACACCCCAGCAATGGGTAGCCTTCCGGGTTTCTGCTGCGTTGAAGAGTGCTGTGCCTTTATCCATAAGGGCATGTGCCAGAAAGTCTCTGGGTTTGTTGCCTTTATGGTAATCTACAACCATCTAGATACCCAATCCCCATTCCATGATAAAGCCACTGTCTGTCATAAGTCACTCACCCCACTGACAGCAGCACTGAGTCTGTTTCCCGGGCCAGGAAACTGCATATATTGTGGTAACAATCTGTAAGACAAGAGCAGACCCAATATGGCCCATGAGGAAGGCCTAGAACATCCCATCACAGCCCCAGGACAGAAGCTACAGATGTGGGTAAGCAGCTGACATCTGTCCTGTGTTCTGATTCTTGTCTCCTCTGAAGTGACTGGCTGGCCCTGCCAGACAAAACCAGACAGCACTCCCAATCTCAGTATCAGGGCTGGTGGGGACCTTGAAGTGCATCTTCTGCATCATTTTATTCTACAGTGAGAACTGGAAATGTTTTGGGATCTGAAATGGACAAAGCCAAGATTAGGGGGTTTAGAGTGGCCATTTGGGGATGTGAATAATTTCATATAGATTAGGAAACACACAATGGATGGATGGGACACTTCAATTAGGAGGGTGGTACATCTGACATTCCAGGAAGCAAGTTCCCTAAGGTCACTGCATAGTGCATCTAAGAACAGTGCCAGGCATAGAATCTGACACATGCATGTCCTGTCCAGCCCTGGATGCTGGCACACAGCAGGCACTGGGCAATCTGTTCATGTGATCTACTCAGACTGCTAAGCCATTGAATCAGCATCTCTAGAGTGCAGGCTCAGGAACTGGGATTTTGTAAATGTCATCAAGTGATTTTACATCCATGGAGATTGCTAGGTGGAAGCAAGCACCTTCAGCACTGTGGCAGAAAATGAAAGAGCAGGTACAGAGGCCGATGCGCTGAGGGGGTCTCAGCAGAGGCAGGAGGCCAGCTCCCGTGCTCAAGGTTCTGCAGAAGCATGTTTCAGTCCTGCTGTACATCATTAACATCATCATAGGCGTTTTTAGGTACAGATGCCTGGGACATCCTAATGAGGGACTGAGTCAGCCTGAGGGAAGGCTGATGGCAAGTAAGTGTGACTTTAATGGTCCAAGAAGAGTTTAAATACAGCCAGTATGGAGACCCTCATCCTCCTTACCTGGGCCCTGACCCCTGCCCAACTTCACTTCCACTCTGTCTGCTTTACCTGTGCAAATGACGTCATACCTCAGTAGAGCTTGGCAGGCTGGGGTGGGGACTTCCAAGGGTTTGTGAGATTGAAAAATATTCCTGAACAAGTGTGTCTCCTATACCTGGGCCATATTCATAATTAATTTGTAAATAAGAGAGGGCATTATGGTACACCTACAATACATCCATCAGCAGGTGCAGGAAGTAACCCCTCCCGCATGCCAACTGAATACTACAAGGGGAAAAGCACCTAATCTATCCACCCATGCCTCTGTGCATCCATTCATCCATCCACTTGTTCCTTTACAAATCTATCCTTTTATGTAATTCCCATCTATTTACAGATTCACTAAAAAAATAAAAACAATAGACAACATAGACAGCACAGGTCTTCTCTGCCCTCTTGGAGTTCTCGTTCTTACTAGAGAGTGAAAAGCAGTGTTACAAACATCATAAAAATATTCTACAAGGAGCCGGGTGTGGTGGCACACACCATTAATCCCAGCACTTGGGAGGCAGAGGCAGGCGGATCTCTGCGAGTTCGAGGCCAGCTTGGTCTCCATTAGCAAATCCAGGCCAGCTGCGGCTACAGGGAGACCTTGTCTCAAAAAGACCAAAATATATATATATATACATATATGTTAAAAATATTAAATATATTAAAAATATATATTAAATATATACATATATATTTAACAAGGAAGATGTAATGGAGTCAGGGATGCAAGGGTCTAGCCTCAGAATGGCAGGAAAATTCTTTCCATAAGATGTTGGGGTAGCCCACACTAGAAGGGCCATTTGTGGAAAAAAAGCCAAGATCAAGGGGCAGTTGGCGATTGCCTGGGCAGTTTGGGCAAATTTGATGAGAAGCAAATAGCCTATAAAGACAAAAAGAGAGATGAGCCTAGAGTGTCTCTGTACAAATGGGGGTCTGTCCTGCAGCACAGCAAGGGCAGACAGAGGCACAAGTGCCTGAGTGGGACAGGCCAACGAGGAGCATGGGAGAGGCCAGAGTGCAGAAATGTTTAGTTCTGGGATGTATTTTGAGACCCTTGTGGTTAATGGAGAGGATCAGCTCATGTGTCAAGTAGAACAGAGAACCACTATCAAGATGCCCAACTGAAGGGGTAGAGCAGGTGCAGACTGGTTGGGCTGTGGTGCTCCAGCAGAGGTGATGGAAATACACAAGTGTGAGATCATGGGTGGGCCAGTGTCTCTGAGAAAGAATGAAGGAGGGGGTGTTACACACCAGGTGGTTGGCAGCGTGCGACACTGTTGTCCCCTCCAGAGCTAAGACAATAGAAAACATTTCCCTGGAAACTACAAGCTCATTAACGCCACAACCCTCAGCCTCAATATGGCCTCCCCAAAAGGCTCTCCAACGCTGTTTGATTTGACTCCCTCCCAAGAGTTCCTAATGTAGGTGAGGTTCCTGAGGGACGCTCCTTACCCAGGCCGCCAAAAGCACAACCCCCTCCATGGTAGAAAATGATGCCTCGCCTCGGGATGCAGGATGCTGCCTTGGGCTGAAACAGCCTCACAGGGATTGTGCCAAAACGCAGGTCTTCTACCAGTACACCAGGGTTCTTCTTTGACACCACTCTGTCTTGTACAAAGCGGAAAAACTTGGGCATGGAGCAAATTTTCATTTTCTCGAGTAAATTCCCCTATGGAGAGGTAGAAGGAGACACCAGTTGGCTGTTTTCAGTTATATCATCTCCACTCAGCTGTGTTGCCAATTCTACTGACTGTCTCAACTGAAGATTTTGTACAAAGCACCAATTTGGGTGGAATAGAGTAGGCTTCCCAAAAAAGCAGGGAAATGTCTGAAACTTGTCGTGAAGCTCTTGGAAGTTGGGGGTAGGGGGTCATTCCTCCTTGCACATAAGATTTCTTAGTGGCCTCAGCAGGAAACATCTGTGGTCCCATTGTCTTCCTTCTGTGATGGCTCTCAGCTAATTTCCACTACCCTGTACCTTGTTTCTAAGGTATATAAGTCCCTTAGTTTATTGCTGTAACTTCCTTTAAAATGTGTAAGGAAGACTACACTTTCCAGTACCAGGGCCACTTTATGGCTCCTGTGATGTCTGCCACCATGTTGTCCACAGAAAGGCTGAGGTCTGGCTCAGAGCCTACCACAGTCTCAGGCCCCCTCCACACAGCCTTTGAAGCTGTAAGACTTGTGTCCAACTCAACTGCTGCCCCACACTATGTGGCCTCAGGTCATTCAGTTATAACTTTTCTCACAATCCCCTCATCCACAAAGCAGGGAAAAATTTCATGTACTTCAAGGCTTTCTGAGTGACATAAAGAGAATTGAGTTCTGGAAGTTACCACACAGTGAAGTCTGCCAATGCTGTCTGTCTTTTCCATGATGCTTCGAGCATCAGTTGTGTGCTTGACAGGGATTCTGTATTGCTCTTTAAGTGTGATGAAGGTGGTGACAGGGATAGAAGCCACCAGTAAGCCTGAAGTCATAGCTACCACAGATGCTTGAAGGGGCAAAATGTGGGACCAGAGCCTGGTAGCCACAGATGCCTCAGAACAGTGAGTAGATCTGCCTTGGGTTGCCTTTATGACCTCTGTATCAGCCGAGGTGGAGACTAGATTAGTGAGCTCGGCTGATTATTTCTCAACCTATTCATAGACACCAAGGCATCCCATGGGGGTGGACTCCACCAGGAAGATGAGATGCTTATGGGCTTGCCACATGGCCTCCCAGATCACTGGAGGAAACATCAATGACTTTAGAACATCCTTAATGGCTTATACAGTCCTAAGTCACAGCCTCCCTAACATCATCCCCTTCCCCTCCCTTCCTCTCCTGTACCAGCTACACTGAACTCTATGCCAAGCCCCCAAAGCATAGGCCTCAGGATCTCTCAGTCATCAAGACATCTGTGTGCCTGCTCTCTGACCTCCTGCAGCTGCTGACTCAGAACCCCTCAGCCCCGCAGTCTCCTTCTGCCTTTGCTTCCCCCTCGTCCGTTCCCATTCAGGGCACTGTTTTGGGAGTTTGTAAAGTATGTCCATGATTGTCATTTCCCACTAGAAGGGAAGCTATGAGAGTTCCTTGTCCTCTGTAGTCTCCTCTCTGGTCACAGAGCCTTGACTGGCATCTTCCCAGAGGATGGAGTCAAGGCTTGGTATGCCATGGTGTACAGTCCCAATGGTCATGCACACACTGAGAGTCATAAGGGGTGAACACAGCATAATCCTGGTTCCATGAATGAGCTTCTTTATATTTGTTAGCAAACAAGGAAAGAGGAAATTTTTCCTCTTCCCTCCTAGAATATACTGATGATAGAAGGTTCTAGGAGTGTGCTGGATAGCTTTAGTGTCAACTTGACACACCTGGGTTGAGGGAGCCTCAATCAGGGAATTTCCTCTATTGGACTGGCCTGTGGCCATGTCTGAAGGGCATCTTCTTGATGAGTGATGTGGGAGGGCCCAGCCCAC